ATCACTCCACGCCGACGAGGAACGGAACGGAGGAACGAACCGAAAAAGGGAGTGCAATGTGCCACTTCTAGACACTACTTTAGACACAACTGAACAACTGAGTCACTGTGAACACGCCAACATTCCGTTGGTCCCAGACAGCACCCTCCCTACACGCCACAACTGAACAAAGCCCAGAGTCACCGTGAACGCCACAAACAAACAAAACCACTCACCCATCACACTGTTGTGTTCAAAAATAGACCATTTAATGACAGTGCGTCTTATAATCCAGAGCGCCTAATAGTGTGGAAAATACGGTAACTTCTAAGGTAGAGGGTCCACTACTTGCTTGTCTCCATGGAGATGCTATTTCTTTACCTGGAATGTTCCACAGTGGGGCCTTGAATATGTCTCCATTCCATTTGTTCAGATGCAGGAGTTATATAGAAGAGGTCTGTGCAGGACAGAATTTTCAGTCCCACTCCCGCCCGCACCTAGCCAGGCCGAACTAGGGGGAAAAAATGGCAATGTTTCATCTTAAACGTTAAATATAGTGATCTTGACTGTGTTTTGGTTAAATTAATAGTTATCGTTGTCATTGGCACTTTAATGTCATGGAAACTGGCTGTACCTGTCTTTTTTCCCTCCATGTATTTCAGCAAAGTGTGTCTTGTCTAAGTACAGATATATAGTATAAACAGCTCTTGAGGTCAAAGTAAGTCCGCTGTGTACTGTCTCCATCTAAATATAAAGTGTTTTATTGTCCGAAAATCAGGAAATGTGCTGTTGTCATTAGCGTGGCATTAAATCAAACCGCTCTGGTTTTTGAGAGTCGTGAAAAGCGCTCATAAACACATCGTGGTGAATAATTACGATGTTTAGAACGTGTAAGGTAAATGAGGAAGAACTTTGGACCACCGGAAACCGTTTCCAAATGAACTAGCTCTGTTTTATGTCGGATCTGTGGAGAGGCGAGCCCACTCACACAGTAGGAATGTGCGTTTTTTAGGTGAATAAAACCAGAGTTATCGAGTAAATGCAAGATGGATAAGTTTAATGCCATACCGGGACATTCCAGGCTAGAGGTGTGCAAAAATATTGAAATATCGATATATCATATTCTTTAATGTGATGATACAGTATCGATATCGTGGGCTGCTGCTATGATATTTTTCGCACTATAAAGTGTACCGGATTATAAGGTGCAATATCAATAATGTTGAATTCTCTCGTCTATTTTCATACATAAGGTGCACCAGGTTATAAGGCACATGAAGCGAAATAAACGGACGACACTTGAGACTGATCCTTAGTCCAGGTATTGACGATCCATTGGCAGATCGTGGCGTAATCCACCCGGTGTCGCCTCCCTGTCTTGGTGAATGTGGATTATGAATGTGAATGTGGGTGGATCATTTAAGTTTGTTTTTTTAATTTCCTACAAGGACGACTCAAATATACACTGAGTAATAATGTGTTTAATGCAGCTTTGAGCACATTTGTTTATGATTTACAAAAAGATATTTTTCAAATAACATGGCTCAGTTGCATGAACTATAAGTGCTGAAATAAACAGCTTGCTCTTTGTGCGCTGATGTGGTTCAGCTTCCGACTAAAGGACAGGATTTAGTGGAATATATCGTATTTTTTGGGCTATAAGTGGCATTTTTTTCATGGTTTGAGTTTTCTCATGGTTTGGAGTCTCTTGTGTCATTATCTTCTATAGTGCGTGCCTCCTGTACAACCAGAATTAATAAATAAGGCGCACCGGATTATATAATTTTTGAAAATTAAAGGATTTTAAGTCCACTTTATAGTCCGAAAAATACGGTAAATTATTTTGTTACAGCGCTACACTTTTATTGCTGGTACAGAGGAAGGAAACTCATTTATGTGACACATTTGACATATTCTCTGTTTTGAGGATTAAATGAGTGCGTTTCATATGAACTTTGCACAAGAAGTGATTTAACGAAGACTTTTAGTATCACAGTCATCAATTAGCCAATATTTTTACTGTATTGAATAGATTTGAAATATAATATTGTATTGAATCATAAGCTCACTGTATCGAGGTATGTATCGTATCGTGGCCTATGTATCGAGATACGTATCGTATCGGCAACTTCTTAATGATACCCAGCCCTATTCCAGGCTAAACAAAAACATCTCCATGGAAACAAGTAGGTGACAGACCCTACACCAGAGAGGTTACACAGTGCACCTTTAAGAGCGTATACATCAGGTACAGTGCCTTTAATCATGACATAATCATTTCTCAAATCAGAAAACACCTCCGTCTTCATTGCTTCCTCCTCTTCAAAACGTCCAGTATTTCAAAAAACATCTTCCATTTTTTATTTGTGTATCTCGATGAAGGTACTTTGAACTTTGATCCGAGTCAGAGCGGTTTTGTCTTAATGGGCTGTCAGTAACGTCTGGGCGCTATGATGAATCTGTGCTTTTAGTGTCTCCTCTCACCTTTCATGATTTCACACATTTAAAAGTAGAAGTCAGCAGAAGTGAGCGGTTTGTTTGTCGAAAATAGCGGAGCACCATCCATCCCCGGCGCTGTGTTTACTCCGGTGGCAGCCATCTTGCTCAGGGCAGCGTCTGTGGGGAGGAGATAGGGAAAAGAGCCTGAGGAGAGTCCCCAAACGCACTCATCTGTCTATAAGGTTTATCTGGAGAGAATCTGTCACAGCTGACCAACTATTTATTATGTAAAGACTTCATTGACTTTCTAAACACTCACTCTAAAAATGATTATACACGTGAGCAGCTTCAGTTAATTGTTTTGCTTAAATTAAAAGTGTATCGTGTAATTTTTCTGATGGAGGGTTCGCCACCTGATGTCTCCATGGAAACGTTATTGCTTTGTCTATGGTGTTCGAGAGTAATACAGGGTGTCCCAAAATATTTGACATCATTTCGCCAATAATTTTCGTAGTTCTTGTTGGAATTAGAGCTGTCGCAAAAACTGCAAAAATTAATCACCGCAGTACTAAGAGGCCCAAGGTGGTGCATGTTGGGCCACCGCGATCACCACATGTGACCAATGTGACCCGACCCAGGGTATTGAATATTTTATTTTTGTTCTGTTTTCAGGTTGAGCCGTTCACTCCCAAAGAGAAATAAGTTTGTGTTTTGGAATCTGCTGCACACACTCACCCAAGACTGTGCAGCCTTCAAATCAAAATTTGAAAAAACTTCACCAACAAATGTGGACTTGATACCAAAAATGTAAAGTGGAAGGCTGATAATGCAGGCCTAAAGGATCTGGTTCGCCAAACATATTCCAAGACGCAAAATGACTTCTCTGTGAGTGTGAACGGCTCAACCTGGAAAAAGAACAAACATCAAACAGTAAACATAAAATATTGATCTGCTTCTATTGATTCTGTGAAAATTTGAGGTTATTTCAACAAGAATTGCCTGCGAAATGATGTCAAACACCCTGCAGATTAAACAGTTCATTACAGTTCAGCTCTGTGGAGAGGCGCCCCTATTCACAGATGGAATTATTATATTTTTGAACAACAGAAACACCTGTAATGAATAAATGCTAGATGGATATGTTTAAAGTCATACCACGGAACATTCCAAGCAAGGCAATAACCTATCTATCGCCATGGAGACAAGCAGATGACAGGACCTGGCCAAATTACAGATCAGATCTGCAGAGAGGTGTATGCACTCACTTTAAGAATGCATGTATTTCTGGTATTTTGTTAGCATTACAGCACTTACTCAGTCTAAACAGGTCGGATAAGTTTAATGTCACACTGTGGAACATTCCAGATAAAGCCAAACATCTCCATGGAATCAAGCTGACAAGCTGACACTCCAGCAGAGAAATTACATACTGCACCTTTTAATACAAGGGTTCTCAAGTGTGGTTAAAAAGATGAAATGAAAACATGTGTCCTTCAGTCATATGGCTGTGTTCAGACTGCAGCCTGAAGTGATCCAAATCTGATTTTTTGGCCCCTATTGTGACCTGTATCTGATCTTTTAATGACAGTCTGAACCACACAGATCCGATTTTTTCAAATGTGACCCAGGACACTTGGATATGTGCTCCTGAAACATATCTGATCTTTTGACATGTGACTTCAGTCTGAACGGCCAAAGTGCATTCATCCACCTACACAATATCAACAAGACACAAACATCACTATTCTGTGCTGAAGTAGGCGAAAATTGTTAATGAACTCAATGTCACTGAAGTGAAGCACATCACCACTCACCACTCTTTCCTACGTCTCCACATCCACACGTTCCTTTCAACGGACGATGCTGCCGCTGTCCCACAAAACACCACGACCAAAAACCTCGTCCTTCTCCTTCTCAATCTCCTCCTTAAAACAAGTAAGTTGTTCATGTTCTGGCTCCGGTACGAGAGGAACTTTAAAATCTCCAGGTGCTCAATGCTGCGTCCATGTTTGGACAACTTCCGTAAACACAGAGCACGCTCACTGAGGTTGACGTCGTCGTGTTTCCAGTGCACATGCAGGACACTTTTGGGCCATTTAATGTTCACACTGGAGTCACATACAAGTTGCATTTAATTGGAAATGTGAACGACCTCGCAAAAACATCTGATTTCACAAAAAAAATCGGAATTGAGCGTTAAGCCCTGCAGTCTGAACGTAGCTATAGTCAGGCATTAAGCAAAATATTGTAGGATAATTTATAAGTCGGTGCAGAAATACAACGTTTAATGCCATATTGGGGAATGTTCTTGGCTAAAGCAATAATAATAAGCAGAACCCCCACCAGAAAAGTCTTGTAGACATGCCATTACAGTAAGTCGAAAATCTGTGGCAATTATGAATATGATCTAATGATGCAGTTGTGTTCATTTTTCTGTCAACACAAATATGGAAAAATTACAAAGCAGCTCCAACTTTGAGGGTCTAGAAATCCCTTCATAAATTCCTGATGTGCGCCGTTTATTTCAGCATCTTTTTCTCAGTGTCTTCCTTGACCTTCCTCCTGTTGTTGCGGTTGTGCAGATCGAGGAGGAGAATGCTGCGCTCCTGGCCGCCCTCACAGACTCCCTGGATGGGATGGTGGATGCAGAGGTAGGGGGCCTCTCCGTGTTTCCGGGTCTGGAGGAGGAACCAGATTCGGACCAGGACAGTCTGCCTCTGAACCAGGACTTCAACCAGACCCTGGACTCAGAAGACCCCTCCCTGGTAAGAGACATGTTGGCTTTTGTGGTCAGGTGTTTAGCACACTGTGGGCTGTGTTGGGAAAGTTCATTTTCTACATTTCTACTAGTTTGTTCATTGTTCATTATTGTAAATAGTTTGTTCAAATTTTCTTTTTCTTTTTTTTCAATATGTTGCTGCGAGCTGTAATTTTTCAATATCATTGCCAAAGCCCAAATAGAAACACAGACAGCAATTATTTGATCAGTTTTAACAATGAAACTATGTGTTAGATTTCATCTTCATTTCAAATTTTGAATCCTTATCCAGTCATTGTTCACATTCGCATTTAGGGAACAGCATTTCTAAAGTACAAAGTAGAAAAAAACTAAGGCACTAAAAAATTACAAAATAATTACTGTATTTTCCGGGCTATTAGACACGCTCTTAAGCCTCCAACCGCATCAAAAAACGACTGCGCACCACAATCCAGAGCGCCCCATACACGAATCCACTCGGGTGTCCCAGCACGACGTCAGTAAACTACAAAGCCGCACCACCCACAGCGCACGCAAACGCTCTTAAAGGACGATCGTTTTGACTGTTGACCGTGACACCCTCATCAGCAAAATGTCAAAAGTGAGAAAAGTGGAGCCGAGTGCAGGATTTTCCAAGAAAAACTGACTTATTCCTATTTGCAAACAAGTTAATGTTAAAACATTGTGTTGAAATTACATTTTTCTTAAAGTTTCAGGTTGTTCATAATATTATAATAGTTTGTAAAAGAGTTCACCATTTAAAAAAGATTTTTGTAATAGATTTGTGTTTCTCTGCACAAATATTTGAACTTATTGTTATTTTTCCGGGTTTATATGACATGAGTTTTCTGATCTGGCCCCTTTGGGATCAAAGTAGGTTGGATATGGCCCCCGGACCAAAATGAGTTTGACACCCCTGCACTAGACTGTATATATAAATGGACATAGCTAACCCGCTAGCCGCTGCGATGCAAATAGGAAGTGAGCATGGGGGTGCTTCCGGCTCCATCGACTCTGGTTCCAGTTCACTTTGTATTGAGAAAACGTTGTCTCTTTCTCTGTAACTGCCGCAGTGAGCCTCGCTATTTTGGTCTTAAAATGTTCGTACTAACTCACTCTACATGATCTTTTATTCCTCAGTTTTGTCTGTAAATCAGTTCCTATTCCTAATTTGAACCCGGCTCCAAATTTGCTTGATTTGAATTGAGCTTCATTTGACTTGAGCCGAGCGCTATGGGTGATGGCACATTCCCTTTGTCTACTTCTTTATACAGCTGATGGTTACAAGCCAGATCTGTGCAGAGACAACGCTGTTTATGGTAAAAATGTATGATTTCAAGTTAATTTGTGTAAATTAAAAAATAAAACAACACTGATAAATACAACACTGTTTCGAAGACCAAGGGCTATGGGAGCCTGGAGGGTCATGCTGTATTTATGTAGACACTGGAAACCTATTAACAATTTATTGCAATAATTTTAATAGTTTTATGAGTAACCACAAAACAAATGAAAATAAACAGGTTAATAGGACTTAAAAAGTGCTATATTTTTCCATTACAGTTGGTTGAAAATATGTGGCAATTATAAACCAGATCTGATATGCAGTTTTGTTCATTTCCATAGGCGGCAATTAGTATTTGAAAGCCCGAAACAGCTTACTGCTATCATTTTTCGAAAGTCAGTGCATTGAACTCTTATCCCTGATACTGAAAAGTCCTGGATAAGAGCTGCCTGTGAACTGGAGTGCCCTGTTTTCCTAGACTTGAAGGCAGACTTTGAACCTAGCACGATGTAAAAGTGCAGGACATCAAGGTTAGCGACTCAGACAGCGATGCGTTCGTGTGTCGCGGGGAATCCGAGCGAGGGCTGCTGTTTGATGGTTGTATTAAAGTGCAGTGGTTGGTTTTTGAGTAAAGAGACGTTTCAGGATCAGAGAATGAAAAGGATAAGATCAAGTTTTATACAGAGACTCAAATAATGCTGGCTTGCGGTACTAAAATTTCAAAATTTATCAAAATCTACAATTGCCACATTTACATGAGAGCTTTAAATTCCAAATACAAATAATTTAAGTGAATAAAAATTAATACCGCTTTAAAAAGACCACGTAAACAATTCCTAATGAACATGATTATTCGGAATTAGGCTATGTTTACACGTAGCCGGGTATTTTGAAACGATGCTCTAGACGCGTTTCCAAGGCGTCGGCGTCAAGAAGTTGAAAATGCTGAACTTTTCGCGTCAGATGCGCCGCGTCAACCAATCAGGGACGAGTATCCAGTGACGCAGCGACGTTATTATCAGGAAGAAAGACCCGAGAACCAGAGCGAGAGCCACAAACATGAGCGGAGCATAAATATATACGCCACAATCACCGAGCCGATCGCGAGGACTACACCAGGACCGGACCAGGACTAAACCAGGACTAAACCAGGACTAGACCGGGACTAAACCAGGACTAAACAAGGGACTAGACCGAGACTAAACCAGGACTGCTCCAGTGTCATTAGTGGAGTATAAATATATATCCGCCCCAGTCGTCGACCCGATCTCCTCCGCTGATGTTTTATGTCATAAAAACACTAAAGTCTCTCTCAGTCTAGTCTGACATTGTTTCGGGAAAAGAGCGGGACCGGGCTCTTGTTTCCAGGGCAACGGACGCGTCAAGTATTTTTCTCCCGTTTGTCCACGGCGTCAAAGAAGCGCGTCAGGGGCGTCTGAACTCAAATGCAAAGGCGTACAAATAGAGGCGTCAAGGTGTTTTTTGACGCTTTGGTGTGAACGGCCCTTAAGACTACATTTCAAAATAACAATTTTTCAGCGGGGTTCTAAAAAATCTTAATTTTAATTCCAGTCAAACTCCTTCCAAATCCGACTTCCTACCCCTCTATGACATTCAGAACAAATACTCTCAGGTATCATCATCCACAGTCACATTCATTTCCATTTCCCACTGTTGTTTTATATGATTTGTATTATCAGACACGTCCATTAAAACTTTTTGGTAAATCTTGCTCACTTGCTTTTTCAATACACCAGAATTTTCAAGTAGATCACTAAAATATTTCTCAATATTTGTCAGGTCTCTTCTGATATAATCCCAGTCCTTATGTTTTATAATATCATTTTTTAACTGTAAATACCAGTAATGGTAAGATGTATTTGGCTCTCAACTGGGAGAAAGTCTTAAATACATTTACTTCAGAGTATTGTGATAGTCTTGTGTTATTCTTGCTGCTCTTTTGACAGGACTTCTCAGATTCGTCATTGTGTTCGTTTAAATGCCTTAAATGTTTGGCGTAGGTCTGTTTATTCTCGGCCGTGGGGCTCTTAAACCACGTGCAGAGGAGAGAGAGAGCTGGGCTTGTTTTGAAGCAGGGGGCCCCTCTTTCACACTCATCTGTTGGATACCTCTGTCCCTCTCTCTCTCTCTCTCTCTCTCTCTCTCTCTCTCTCTCTCTCCCTCTGTTTTTCCCCGAATCGCTTTTCTCAGAACAGACTTTGGCGTTTTTGTTCTTACCCTCTCTTTCTCTCTCTCTCTCCCCTCCCCCGCTGCACCTGATTCAAAAGCTCCCGGAAATGAAGGGATAGTGGAGTAAAAACCGGTGGAGAGGAGAAGGGATGGTGATTTAGTTTTAGTGTTGGAAAAGGAGACATATGCTACCGTATTTTCAAAATTTTCAAATAAAAGTAGGTAAAGATATGTTTGTTAATTAGCAGTTGTTGTAACCGATTAGAGCTAGACAAGATATTCAATTAAAAAAACGTGACGAAGTTCACATTTTTAACAATAATTAGGAAAACTGTAACATAAACTAAAAAAAAAAAGCATTGTTTTTATTTATTTGAATCTACCTAATGTTCAGAAAAGAAAAAAAAAGTTTATCTGAAAAACACACACAAAAAGTTCAAGTTCAAACACCACCAGCTTTTCTCCATGGAGATTTTACTGCTTTCACTGGAATGTTCCGCAATATGGTGCTGAAATAAGCAGATGCATTCGCCAAGCCAAGTTAGAAGTCAGATCTGTGGAGAGGCGAGCATGCAACTGAATAGATGCAAGATAGATAACAGTGTTTCCCACAGACCAAGGAGCTTTGTGTGGCGTGAACCCCCCTATGTATTTAACTTTTTTTGATAAAACAAAATAATTACCGTATTTTTGGCACTATTAGGCGCACTCTTAAGCCTCCAACCCCATCAAAAAATGACTGCGCACCCACAATCCAGAGCGCCCTATACACGAATCCACTCGGGTGTCCCGGCACGACTTCAGTAAACTACAAAACTGCACCACCCACAGCACACGCAAACACACACAGAGCAGACAGCGACCTCACAGCGAAAAACACCCACAGACACACTCATCACTCCACGCCGACGAGGAACGGAACGAAGGAACGAACTGAAAAAGCGAGTGCAATGTGCCACTTCTAGACACAACTGAACAACTGAGTCACTGCAAACACGCCGACAATCCGTTGGTCCCAGACAGCACCCTCCCTACACGCCACAACTGAACAAAGCCCAGAGTCACCGTGAACCCCACTAACAAACAAAACCACTCACCCATCACACTGTTGTGTTTCCTTTAAAGTCCGGTGCGGTTTATTTGTGAAAAAAGATTGAAAATAGACCATTTAATGACAGTGCGTCTTATAATCCAGAGCACATTATAGAGCGGAAAATACGGTATTATAATGTGACAATTATATAATAATACAAATGAAATAAATAAAATACTATAATTAGGCCTAAGAAACTACTAAAGGTACAACAAGGTGACTAAATGAAACAGCAGGAGACTGTTTGGTGCACATGTCCTACAGAACACCTCATTTTATGTGACATTCTGAAAAATAACTCCATTGCCTGATCATGAGGGACCTCCTCGGGTTCTGGACCCATTTATTGCACCCTGCACCTATCCCTGGACTGTACTGGTCTTCGGTATAGTTCCGAGTGTCAGGACGGGCCCAGAGGTGTGCCCGTGTAGATTGTCGG